ACATTGTGTCTAAGATCTCGACGCCACAAGCATCAAGCGTTGATGCATCTCGCATCACATTCGTGATTCGTGATTTGAATGGCAATTGCTGCTGGCCGAGCCGGTTCAGAGGACTTTCAAAATCTGGCCTAGAGTGTTGAACTCGCATTCACGATTGTTGATCTCGGCTAGTTGCAAAGCTGCTGGCTGCAGCGGCTCCACACAGAGCCGCGCTCCGCTTGGAGCTGATCGCGTGAACATCTTGATCGTGAAGGAGGAGCCACCTAATGTAGACAAGAGGTAGGTCGATGTCATCATGGCTTTGCGAGCCACAGCCATGTGAAAACTTAAGACCTCCAGCACGCAAGTCGCGCAGCGGAACGGCGATCTAGAGGACAAATGTTCCAATCGAATATGTGTCTACAGTCCCACCTCTTGTGACCACGACGGTGAGCGCAGGCGTGGAAACATGGATCGCATGTACTTGTCTGCTTTCAACGATCACAACAGTGCTTAGCGTGAGAAGTGATTCGTGGGTCCTCGCATACCAAGGAACATTTGTCCACCGTCCATCAGGTACGACGTGGTCGCGTGCTCGCGAGCCGTTTCACACGTGCGGGACGGAGTCACAATGTCACCGAGCGTCACGACGCAATCCTGATCAAGTTACTGGTGCAACATCCCAATGATCATTCAAATCTTCGATTTCCCGGCATTCATTCGCGTTCGAGTTGGCGCAACGCAAACGAGTGCGATTGCAGCTCCCAGATTCGTGACTGTTGAGGCCTGCTCCTGCCCTCGACCGAATGCTCGCTTCATGACGGAGCGTCTCCAAGAATCACGAATCACGAATGCAGCATTGGATCTTGGAATGTCTCAGAGGTGCACACGCAGTACGCAGCCACAGGTTGACGCGCCACGTTCCTTCTAGTAGGTCGCCTACCCGCGAGCCAGGGTGCATCGTGAGTAATCAAAAATGCATACAGGAGGATGGAGAAAGTCGAGTGGGTCGACCCTTTTGGTCTTCGAGCATCAGATCGCCAAAAGAAGGCCACGCGGAG